AAAAAATGCTTATATAAAATGTTCTGAAATACAGGATGTTAAGTTGAAAATAAAAAATTAATAATGGGCAAATATATAGGTTGTTATAATTTTATTATTCAATATAATTTTACTAAAATCGACACTGACAAAATTTAACTAACAGATTTTTTTTGCCGTTAGGCAAACTTATAACATAAAACACAATACCAAACACGTTAGGTGAAATTATATTAAGTAATAAAAACATGTAAGCCACCTAGACAGCACACCAAATCCTTTGGATATCTACTGGACATCCCAATATCCACTGAATGTACAGTCCATGGTGGATATCTATTTTATATCCATGAGATGTAATTTATAGACATGCAAATATCCATAAATAATAGTAATTATATAGCAAATTTTTAAAAAATTACGCCATTGTGCTCGCCATTGTGGCTAATAGTACCGTTCAGATATTTAAAATTAATTTTTTTAAGGTGTATTCAATATCCCATGGACATCCACTAAATATATCAAAGTCTAGGCGGGAACGCAAACCATGGTGGATATCCACTAGATGTAATTTTTGATTTTGCTTACTAAGTATAGATGGCGATATCACTTTCGCTCGTTGAATATCTACTCATGCGCAACCCGCCGTAATTGAGTTCGATCGAAATTGGTTTCGCAATCAGACTCCATTAGAGACTGGAATCGAGAATTTCCATTTATTGCCGAAGAGTCCTAATGATGACTTTCTCCTTAGTGGGCAAAATCAAATGCAGAGTATTGAAAATATTTTTTATCTCTGTTATTTTCTTTCGACGTTATTCAATAATCATTGGTTACTTATGAACCTCTACTAAAGATACCCATAAAATATTTTGCTGAAGCTGAATATCCGAATATCTTCTATATCCTGGGATATAGACGGACATTTGGATATCCATATTAGATCCACTGGATATATTGGATATCCACAAAATATATTCTGTGGATATCTCTGGGATTTCTTGTATTGTCTGGAAGATACCCATTAGATATTTTGCTGGATATCCATAGGATATCTTCTGTATTCTGGATATAGACGGACATTTGGATATCCATATAAGATCCACGGGATATTTCTGATATCCTGTAGATATATTGGATATCCACAAAAGATATTCTGTGGATATCTCCGGGATTTGGTGTGTTGTCTGGGTAATTTTCAGTTTTCAACTTTTAATACCATTTGAAAACGAATCGAGTACCATTTTAAGGTAGCGGAATCAGTAGCACATTTAGGTGTATTATTTTCGAAAGGCAAAATTAAAAATTTTTCATTTATTTTTTTGTACATGAAAATACTTTGCTGCATGCCCTACAGTGATGAAGCGTTCAATGAAGGCGTCTTAAAAAATAAATTATAGAAAATGCTATTTGATTAGATAATTAACATTGGCATAAACCTTCATTGCTCAGGACGTTAAGTGCTCAACTTTGGATTTCGTGAAGTTCAGTTACCGACTACTACTATTTTTTCTGAACTGTTATCAAAATACTACAAAATTTAGCAGAAAGATAGCATTAATTGTAGGGGTTATATTATTATAAATAAAATGTATTTAAAATAAATAAACAGCATAAGTCGTATTTTTCATATTTTTTTCTAAAATAAAAAAGAATGTTTTTATCTGTAATTGAATCCGGGTTGCGAAATCCAAATTTGAACGCTTAACGACCCAAGTCTTGAAGGCACTTATATCAAGTTAATTATCTAATCAAATATGTGACGTGGCTTTTTAAAATACCATCATTGTGTGCTCCACTGCTGGTGCTACAAGAGAAAAAAGAAGGAAATATTTGTAAAGTTGCCTTGCACAAATGTATAACTAAAAAAGGGCAACTGGCTCTCGTAAGCCTTTTTCGTTTAATCGTCTCATTATTTGAACACTAAGCGATAGCATGGGAAATATATGTTACAGTTAGTTTTAAGAACTTTTAACATTTAAATAAACAAAAACAATTTATAAATCTATTATTAAAATCCGTGTTGCAACAAAACATGTAAAATTGTTGAATTTGAAAGATAGTATTCTAAAAAGAAAAAGGACTTCGTTCGAGAGCCTATTGGAGTGAATATTCAGTTCAATCAATGACAATTATTAAAATTACTATTCTTAAATATTTTGTTATTTAATTTGCTTGTAAATTTATGTGTGAATATATTTATAAATTACATTGGTCAACAGTGATTTTGTGGACGGGGGTTTAAGAGCGTTTTTGGGCAATTGTTTTACCGATATACTTTTACAGTGATAAATTATAAAAAAAATGTTTTTTATAAGATTTTCTTTTATGTTCAACTTTAGGACTTTATGATTATTGTGTAGTTCCTAGAATTCTGTACTAAATAAGAGCACTGATTTTGAAAATAAATTTTAACAAGTTGTTGAACCTTGTAACATTGCATAATGAAATACAAAGACTAACTGAATATGTCTGCCACAGATAGACCACTTGTAGGTCTATCGATTCACTTGTAGGTCTATAGATTTCGTCTTGAGCTGTTCCTAAAGAGCGGAGCTATTGAAAACTTCATTTCAAGGTGATTTATTTCAATACTCAGAGCTAGCCGAGAGAACATTTTTTCTTATATTCATGAACAACAGCCAAGATACATTTGGAAGTCACTAATATATCACCGTGACTGCTATTTTTGTAATTTGTTTTCCAGTGTTATGGATTGATTTTTCGCTGATTAGTGATTTTCTTGTTCCTTAACCAAATTTCTTGCATACTGTTGATAGCTTTGATGAAATTTTGTAGCAAAGCTTGTTCAAATTTTAAAAACTATAAAAATATTCAGCTATTTTTATGGTTATAAACTTTTCCAACACTTAGTCCAGACATAGTAATTGGTAAAAGATGCCTATTGCGTCCAATTAGAGGTACTTAGATTACATGCAACATTTTCAGAAGCTTATTCCTTTTTTGTCTTCTACTTGGAACTTTTCAATTTATTTAAAACATTGGACATTGTTATCAGTTGCTATTGTTTATATATATTGACATAACTGCACATAACCAAAATATTGACCAAAGTCCTTAACCACTTTTTATCACCTTCATCCAAAAATTGTATTTGTACGGTTTTGTCAACTGAAATAAATTTTCATTATTATGTTTAATTTTTTATGTCTCTTATCATGAACTGTAATTTTTAAATAAATAAAGATATGTTTTTAACTTTAATAGGTAGGTGATACATAGTAGAGGCCACGTGCCTCAACGAAAAGAAGACGTATCTGCATAGCATTAAGACTTGACTACTTAATTAAATCGTCACTAGATGCCGCCCGAGATTGCATCCAACACTTTTTACTGTAGCATTATCCTACTATAATATCTTCATACAACGATACAGTGACGGAAAGGGAGCTACGTTAACTCGTGATCGATATTTATTTTAATGGCGATAAATTAAAAAAAAAACGTCGCTAGCTGGACTGAGATAGCCCCGGGATTATGATCGGATTTTCGGAAAAATTCAGCTTGGTTAAAATTCACCTATTTTAACTGTCGGTCCCCTATTAAAAGATTATTTTCAAAGTGGTGCGGTTTATTACAGTTGATACGGTGACGGAAAAGGGGGCAATGTTAACTCATGATCGACGGTAGGTAGTGAATTAAAGATTTCACTAATTTCCGGAGTAGTGAAGGGTTTATTGACAAGGGAATTTTTGAATGTTAAGAAATAAAGTCGGCGAAATAAGACTGCACTGATGCTGAACTCACAAAACGATATTCCTTACAGAATTGGGAAATTAATTATTATTTCGGTTTTAAGAAGTTCCGTCGTTGAAACCAGACTCCCATATTGCTGGAATTCGGGCATAATATAGGCTAATTTTCTCGGACTATAACAAATGATTTATTTACTAAGATTTAACAAGCGACGGTCGACCCAGAGGATAGCGAATTAAATCCTAATGGTAAAGGCTAACAATGACAGAACTTTATATTTTCCACGGTTTTCACACTATAGGTGCAAAAAAAAATTAAAATCACGATATTGGCGGTAACGGTTTTAAATTTAAGTCGCTTCGGACACTCGCACTGGAAAAGAGATAAAGAATTCGCGGTGAGCCCGGCTTTATATTTTACGCTCGAACTAGTTTGGTTTTCGAATAGTTCAGACTGGGAGTAGCCAATATTTATAAATCGGAGAACTGAATAAATATCCTTTTGATATCTGTGAACATGACCAGATAATGTATATGAATTTGTGTGTTTAAAGCTGGATTTTAATTTCGGTAAATATTATATTTTGATCTACGGGGGTTCTCCCAAATGTTTAAAGTCGGACATTTTTAAGAGTACACGGGTCCATGAGAACGCTAACAGGCGGAAATTAACTTGAACTAAACATTTTTATAATTACTAAAGGAACATTTAGTGAAATATTGAATATCTGGTCTCTATTTCTATATTTTATCGATGAACTTTCTTCAAATTTAAAAAAGTACATTTTATTTATTTTTACGCTATACGGTAAATTTAAAAATACAACAACATGTTGTGTAGTCACTAGGTTATGCGCAATAAATACAAATATTGGAAGTAAAACTTTTATCCTCATAACATAATAAACTGGAGCATTTTAAAATATGCTCGTTAAAGTATGTTTCATATTGCTTAATAACCTCTTATTAAAATATTAATTAATTACTTAATTTAATTTCTTAATTTCTAGGTACTTGAGTAGCCTTTGTTATCTTAGTTTTACAACCGTCACAATATATTACATTATATTAGTGACTGTGGGTTAGTCGCTGGTGGGCAGCTGCGACTATCCGTTGACTAGCCGTTTTGTAAAAAAAAGAAAAGACAATTCCCTGTTTGTTCACAAATCGTTGTGATTGTTTAATACTTACTGCAAAATATATATCTTTCCTTTTCCTATTTATTTTTTGTTCTGTTTATAATAAAAAAAAGCTTTTTTTTACAATTATGTAGGTATTTATTTAGCATTTGGTTTTGTTTTAAAGATGCGAGGAACTTCAACTGGAACTAGCATCGTCACAAAGAGGACGGATGGGCGCGAGCATGCATCAAGGTGTACAGATGCAGAGCAACATGGGAGGCGGCCAGTCCTGGGGCAATAAAGGTACAGAAATAGAACGAATTATGGCTAAAATAGAACAAGATAACAGAATATTAGCTGAATTAGACCATAGTCGTTCTACAACTTTGGGTAAGTTAGAGTAGCACAGCTGAACGTTGGCAATTAGAAACACAAGGAAATCAAATTATTAAGATCACAAACGTACGTAATAGATATATTATTAAATTGTAAGTTTTATTCAATATTAAATAGACTCATAAGAGTCCATTTTTATGCAAACTGATATTATTGCGCTATCTAGGAGCAAATTATTGGTAGAATTAACGTTATCGAAAAGAGTATTTTGAATTTAGTTGATAATTTTCTTTTGTGAAGGCGACATCTTGTAGCTAGTAGATATTTTAGTTTGTTTCTGCTATTTTTTTTTATCTAAATAACTATGGTTTGGAAACTTTTAAAACTAAGGTCTTACTCCTGGGTCCAATAAATTAATTACGCATGATATTTAACGTGCACACTTTACGCACTATGCTTTTTTCACTATTAGGTTAACTTAAATGGTTTAATCCTTTTAAGTTTTACTTGGTTTGTGATGAAGAAGTCTTTGTTCGTGACTTCTAGTCAACTTGGTGATTTGTTAAAAATATTATCTTGGCAATAATGTTTCTAGCTTGTGAAACAATCCTTAATTTCATATTTTACCAAAAGCTTGCAATATGTTTAGGAAGATTTCTGAGCAAACTTTGTTTTCTTCTTATGATTTTTTGATAGTGTCTGTAATTCTCTGCACTTGGTCAATCTTTTAAGGAGTAATTTTTCATTCAATTTCGGTATTACAGGACGTAAAGAAATTATCCTGTGTAATAATGAAACATCGTTAGGTGATTTTCCTGGTTTTGGAATCCTCATGACTTATCCTGTTTTTCAGAGCTTAGATACATATCTCAGTCCTAATGATTCATTAATTAGACGAATTTTTTTTTACAATTGCTTTGAAAGTCAAAATCAGGAGATTTTTTCCAATGAATTTTGTTATTATTTCACCAGAGACTTCCTCTGGATAATGAAGATATTTTCTGTAATTGGTTCAATCCAGTCTTGATATTCTTCTTCATTTGGTTAAAATGTCACTTCCAAATGCTATGCAAATCTACAGCTCTTTTGGAAATGGTGAATTCTGTATTGATGTAAAATATGGAGTGAATGAGTTTGCTAGATAAAACCATTTTTCTTCAAATCATGTCCATTATCAGTTTTAAAGAATGTTAGAGCATTTTGATAAAAATTAATTTTTAATTCATCCATATTAGAAAATTTTCATTAAACGTTTACATTAATCACAATATTTGATATTGTCAATATAGTTAAAAATAATATTATACACGTGATCTTAAAAATAATAATGAACTATTAAAAAAAAAATGGTTAATTGTATAAAATATTTAATACATTTCAGAAAAAAATTCAGTAAAATAAGTAATGAGCTGTACTACCTATATACATAGTTATATCAATTAATTTTTATAATAATTACTATACAAAAATAATGACTAGAATGTCTAGTAAACTTTGCCTTGTGTTTCTGATTATTTTGGTGTATTGGTGTTTCAATGTGTTAAATGTAGACGTGAACATAATGCAGCTTTTTGGCAAATTCAAGTGGGTTAAAGATGTCAGAGAAGGTATTTGTTATTTTTTATTATGATTTGTTCTTTTTGGCAAACATTACGAAAAAAAAAAAATATGACAAGTACATTCCATTTTAATACAAAATGGAACACGACACACCTGTATACCTAACAGCATGGATAGTTAATACATAGTGCATTTTTTAAAAATTTATTTTGGGCTTAAAGGTAGATTTAGGATTACTCTTTTAATAACATCTTTATTAAATTGTAGATCTGAATTTGACATATTTTAAATAAAGATGTTAAAAGGGTTTTAGTATTGCTTAGAATAACATTAGTTATTAAGGTGAAATTAAAGAAATCATAGATGTGCCAAACAATTCTCTGTAAAATTATTTCACAGCATTTCATTATTTAAATGAGAAATTTCTAAAATTGTATTGGAATTTCTTTATTTTCGTACTCTTGAACTAAATGGGTATTAGGGCGGAGTGAATTTTACAACTTTGAAACTTAATAACCCTGTATGCTTAAGATATGTCTATTACATGCTAAAAGAAGTTAAAAAAATCTGAGTTCTAAAAAACTGTATTTTTGGCTTCAAAAGCCATCCTAAATTAAACTTTGGGCATTTATTAATTTTGGAACATAATTAAGTAAATATATTAATATATATTTGTAATTACCTCGCCAGTAATGTTGGCAGCATCAACAAGAGCTACAAACAGTTCTAGAATTATAAAAAATTTATTGCTGAGACACATTTTACAAAAGAGTGGTTCATCAACTTTAAAAAATATGAAGTGTATCATGAAATTCATCCAGATAAGGCGATAAAAGGTGGAAGTGCAGATCTAATTAAGGAATCCACTTTACACCATCAGAAATGAGTTACCAAACAGTATAAATACAGCCCACATCTGTTAAATATTAAAACAAAAACTTATGAAATTTATATCCCACCAAGACATATTATAAAGAATAATAAATAAGTTGACGCCAATGCTACAGTTTCATAGTGTGAGGAGACTTTAATGCGAAATATACTCACTAGGGATCTACACTGACAACAACAAAAGGAAAGGAACCTTGAAAAGAACTATTAGCATCATGCCATCAACACAAATATCAGACAATGTCAACTGGAAAGACTACATTCTTACCCACAGATTTGAACAAAATTTCCTGCTCTCCTATGCACGTAGAAGAAACATGCAACTTGAACTCAGAACAAAATTCCTGATATCATATGCATATAAAAGAAACATGCAACTTGAACTCAGATCATTCTCCCATACTTTTCACATTGAGTGACATTGTAATCAAAAGCAAAATTTACCTAAACTAATCAACAAGGGCACATAATGGAAAAGCTTCAAAATCAACCTAGAAGAACTAATTGATCTCTCGATTCCATTAAGAACTGAGGAAACATTAGACTAAGTTGAGCTTTTTGTCAAAAATATTTATCAAGCAGTGTGGGAAAACATTCCTGAGATTAAATGCAGAATGCAAGGTAATAATTATCCAAAAGAGATCAGAAACATTATCTCAAAAAAAATAAAAATTAGAAGAAAATTTCTAGAGCAGACCTGCACAACTCAGATTTTCAAAGGGCCAGTTCAAAAACCGTAAGTATACGAGGGGCAAAAGAGGCCTGAGATTATAAATTTAAATTTATAAAGCAGATAGTCGAGGTGGTGTTTTTAGATTCTAAAAACAAAAAGGTGCTCACCTTATCATTCTATAAACCAAGTCGAGCTTCTAAAAAAAGGTCCTGAGCTTATAATTTATAAACCAACTCTAATCAACTTAATGAACCAGTTCCTTCTATCGAGCTCCTAAAAAAGGCAATTAATGCCAAAATGCAATTTTGTTACTGAAAAATGTATAGTTTGACGTAGGAGGGCCGAACTGGTCAACGGACAAAGGGCCACGAAAACGACAATGGCCGGTCGCATGCGGCCCGCGGGCCCTATATTGTGCAGGCCTGGTCTAGAGCATCAGATGATAAAATAACTTTAAACAATGTAACATGCAACAGAAGAGCTAAAACGTGAAATATGGCGCATTAAAAATGAGTCGATTGGCAAATACTTAAGCGAATTAACTAACTATAAAAGTACAGATTATTTACTCTGGAACACTACCAAACGATTCAAAATGCCTACTATACTACTTTACATAACACACCAATTAGAAAGATAGATAGAAACTAGCCCAAAATAGTTTGCAAAAAGTAGATATATTTGCGGAATATTTAGAAAGTACCTTCCAACCCAATAATGGTGAACATTTTCAGTACTAAATGGAACTAGCACAAGAAGTCACTTTCGTTAAACTTACCTCTCCAAAAGATGTTTATGTGGAAATCCGAACAAATATAAATCCGAAAAAGCACCTAAATTTGACCAAATTACTGGGGGAATTTTGAAAATGCTTCCATGTACCAAATATCTGGAAGATGGAAGAAGTTATAATACCTACCTAAGCTAGGTAAACTTCCCCATTAAATTACATCATACAGACCCATCTCCTTATTGCCTGTTATCTCTATCAAAAATTGCTTTATAAGAGATTGAAACCTATAATAGAAGAAAATTACCTAATACCCTCCAACCAGTTTGGCTGCTGTAGAGAAAAATACTCGACCATCGACTAAGTTTATAGAATCACAGATATCATTAAGAAGTCCTTAAAAGAAAAAAAATGTGTCACCGTCTTTTTGAAAGTGGCTCAGGCTTTCGACAAAATATGTCATGAAGGCCTGATTCAAAACTGAGAATGTTCCTGCCACGTCAGAACTAATACAAGCATTAGAAATTAAAACTTTAAAAAAACCGACTTCAAAAACGTGCAGATGCCATCACCACATCTTAACCAAATTTATATGGGACCACTCCTGAGGTACCCTCTTACTAACAAAAAAAGAATCATATAAATCGGAAAAGGTGGTAAAGCATTATCGCTAAACATACATAAAAAATGAAGAGTTTGAGGATTTTCTCATGGACCCAATTATTAGATATTAACTAAATTTATATGGGACCACCCCTGAAGTACCCCCTTTCTAACAAAAAAAGAATCACTGAAATCGGACACCGTGTTAAAGAATAATCGCTGAACATACATAAAAAAAAATATCGCGACGAATTGATAACCTCCTCCTTTTTTGAAGTCGGTTAAAAATCAGAAAGGTAAGAATTAAACAGTAAGAAGTATATTCCCACCTAAAAGAAATCAAGGCAGGAGTACCTCAAGGTAGTGTACTAGGTCTAGTACTTTACTTGTTGTATACCAGAGATATTCTTAATCTTGAGCCCAATACGATTGCAACATTTGCTGATCAATGCGGAGTAATCCTGACTCTTGGAAAAAATCACGAAAACGCTAATAGAAAATTGCAAAAATCTATAGACTAGGCAAATCTGTCCATATCAACTCCAGCAATAAACAAAATAAATATATTTCTGTTAAAATAAACGACAAAATATCTGG